CTGGAAGGCTAGTTGCTCCCCAGAGAGGGACCCCAAGTGCTGAGTGACCACATCGCACCACTCTGAGTAAACAGGCTGTGTTTCATGCACTGTTGTCTTAACTTTTTCCCTTTAGAATAAGTAGTCCTGTGATGTAAAGAACAACTCCGTTTCTATAGCATGTTTCCGAACCATTCCTGATAGTCCCTGGAAACCCCATTCGCATATTCCCAGTGGTCCTGAGTCCCCCCTCCGCGTGGTTTCATTCCATCCACCAATCAGCACCCCACACTGAAGAAAAGGACCAAAATGTGCTCTGTGTTGGCTGACTAGGAGGGCCCCCTTGAGAATGAGCCTTAACTATGAACTTTGTGATGAATCTGCATCTAGTTTTGTTACTGCTCAGGGTGTTAAATCAGATTTCAAACATACAAAATGGGGCCATGTAGATTGAGCATGTCATTCTGGGGTGGGGGAATGAAAAGCTTGGCACGCGAAGGGAACTGAGAGTGAGAGCTAAGGGTCCAAGGTCAGGCTCACCACTTCCTGGGGTTCAAGGTGAAGGGCCCTGCAGGAGGCCCAGAGAGAATGCAGCACAGTTGTGTATGGGTGGGTGGGTGGCAGGGGAGCTGTGAGGGGTGGCGGGTTGCACTGGGGTCTCTACGTGCCCACTGACTAGAGGTTACTAGGAGAGAAGTCCTTACACATAGCTATGAGAAGTGACCCTCAGACCAACACACCTAAGCATCTCGAGAAGTCCATCAGTAGAGGCCGTAAGTATCGTTAGCCAGGTGCAGTGGTACATGCCTGAGGGCCAGCAGCTGGGAGGCTGAGGCAGGAAGACCACAAGCTCAAGCAAGAGCTGCGCAGCAATTTCAAGATCACCCTGAACTACACAGTGATAGACTGCCTCAAAAAAACAAAATAGATGAACAAAAAACAAACAAACAAACAACAAAAATAGCAAAAAGCTGAAATAAAAATGAAATAGTAAGCCCCTATGTGTACAGGTAGCATTTATTTGTTAGAAACATAACGTACACTGTTACACTGTACTGTTATAATGTACATTATAACATAGATGCAAAGAATCAAACTGCAAAGAATTCTATAAGCTAGACTTAAACAGAAGTGCCACTTTCGTCCTGTACCCCAGGGAGGCCTTGTTCACACCACTACTCTGCACCATCGTGGACTCTGCACAAGACGCAGGAGCGATGCGCACTCTCTCAATCTCACCATTGCTCCTGGCTCTAGTGTGGTCTGCAGGCCCTCACAGTGGTTCTTACTAAGCCATCCAGATGGCTTCTTAAAAAGGGCCGGGGAGATGGCTCAGCAGAATAAGCGCTTCCCTGGCAAGCGCAGGGGCCTGAGTTCAATCCCCGGTTCTGCCAAAAACCAAAAAACCCAGATGGCCTCTTGACCTGAGACTGAGGACAGTGCGCCCAATAGCATCAGCTGGCAAATGTGTCTGGAAAAACAGCAATCTCTGCACATTTAGGTGGGAACTCCACTGTTCCACTGGGAAGTTCTGCAGAAATCAACACCTTTTTACTTGGGGTTCTTCCCCCACTCGCCACACTCCTTTTTTGGGGATTGTTCTTGGAGTACCGAGCATTTTTTTCTTTCTTATGCTGTTAAAACTGTCAGGCTGAAATTATGACTTTTCTCTTTCTTCCTCCTCGAGAACGACACACTTGTCTGTACCCTTTTCCAGGAGCTTGTAGTTTCCAGGCATTACTGCTGTCTCCTGCAGCCAGAGAGCGCCTTAGCAGGACTGCTTCAGACAGGCAAACTCTACAACAGCCTTCTGACTGTTCTCCCGGCTGACTCTGATAAGCAACAGTACATTCCACACAGTGACCAGAGGGCTTAGTTTAAGGTCTAGGGCCAGCAAATGGCGCTAGGCCCCAGGCTCTCAGATGCCCCTTCTTCCTACTGGCTGAGGAAAGAACCAGCGGCTGGAAGTTCAGAGCTGGTCTTGCTTTCTAAGGGGAGCAGTCCCTGATGCCCTCTGGGCGTGGACCAGTGGCTGCACTGCCTCCGGTACAAGCCTGAGGTGCAGACTCGTCCTTTCTACATGACAGGCTGAGCTCTGCGACCTTGACAACTCGCCAGCTGCTCCTGGAGGCACAGCCCCTGCAATCTGGCTAGAGCAGCCACAGGTCTTACCAGGAGGCACAAAACCCCCACGCTGAAAGAGAACAAAGATAAGGTGGACTCAGAGCAAGGACACAGGCTGTCTCAGGGCCTCCGCTGTGGCCAGCATGGCCTCTCTTCCCCTTGCTATACCTCCTCTCCAGCCACCGACCAGAAGGAAAGGAGGCTGGGAATGGTTGTGCACTATGGGAAGCCCTCAGGGGATGTTATGCACTCCAGAGAAGGACGGGGAGCAGACTGATTTACAGGGCAAGGTCTTGAATGCTGAGCTTCTTCCAGCCCTTGATGGCCCATGTCTCTTCTACCTCAGGGTTTTGTTGCTGTGTTGGCCAGGGGCCACAGCAGTGCTGGGCGTGTGTGCCTAGGCACGAGGGGCTGGCGCTGCCTCTCCTTTTGGGAGTATGCTCTGGGAACACAATGGCCTCCTCCAAAATCCTTTCCTCGGGGGCCGGGGAGATGGCTCAGTGGAATAACTGCTTCCCTGGCAAGCGCAAGGGCCTGAGTTTAATCCCTGGTTCCACCAAAACAAACAAACAAACAAACAAACAAACAAACACAATTAAAATCCTTTCCCTGTCAGTGAACACTTCATAGAAGGATCTGTCTGTCAGTCTTTTGTTTTTCTTCCTTTCCCTCTCTTTCTATCCCTCTGCCCCACCAGGATGCTACACCAGGCTTTCTCCCTCTCTCTGCAGAGAAAGCTTCCATTTGTCCTACACACACCTGGAGCTCAGTTTGTTTAGTGGCAAAAGGGAAAAGAAGGAATTAAAACAAAGGATGCCGACCCTGGGGTGGATCCAACTCTGGGAAGAGGGGCCAGGGCCAAGGGTCTGCTCCTTCTCTCTCCTCACCAAGGGCAATGCCACTGACTTAGCGTGTAGACCTGAACAAGCCAGTTGGGGAGCAGTGCAGAACCATACCCGCCCGCCACAATGACCTGCAGAGATGACCCCTGGGGAGGCCAGGGCTGTTGTCACTGCGTGTTCTGGAAAAGCCATGGTAAGAGCATTGGGGCTTCACACAGCCACGGAAGAAGAGCACTGCGGAGGTAGCTCTTGAGAGTTTCGGTTCGTTGGAGGAAGAATGGCTGCCTATCAGGCTCTCTAGAGAGTTGTAACTATCTCTGAGAACTGGCCACCTCACACTGTGGCCATGTCCCTGATTGGGTGGAAGGGCCCAGAAATGCGTGGCAAGTGGTTAGATGTTTTGCTTCTGCCCCCCTTCCCCAGCACTGAGCCAAAGCAGTCATCAGCACTGACCTTTACAGACAACCGTGTGTCATTACCACAACATCCTCCAGGGGAAACCAGGCTCATTATAAGAAAAAAGCTGCCCTGAAGTAGCAGGACAGATGAGGTGGGTGAAGGACACTCACACCGCTGGGTGGCCCCATTCTGCACGGCCTCCGCATGTCACTTCCTGCACCTATGCAGTGAGGACATGAAGATAGCTACTTGCCAGGGTCGCTGGGAGGAGTGGACGCGATGACAGCTGGTCCCTGGGAGCTTGCCAAGGGTCAGCTCTGCTTTAATTACTTAGGTCCCTACAACTTACTGCTTTTAAAATGCAGACTCTCAGGCAAAGAGGGCAAGTGACTCACTTACGGCTGCAGAGCCAGGAAGAGGCAGAGTCAAGATTAAATCCCATCAGACTTCTTCATATGCTGTCCAAATACTCAGCACAGAGCCTGGCACAAAGCAAGCTGTCACTGTGGGAATTATCACGGTGGAGCAGGAGCAGAATATGGAGGTGAAGAGGGGGCGCTCTAGAACTCTGTGCCTCATGCGCTCATCTGTCCACTGGGCATAGAAACACCTTCTGACAGGGACGCGCAAGGGTTAAATGATTAAATATAAGTAGAGGAGTGAAAGACATCCTAGTGCTACAGCAGCATGATTTGTAATAGCTAAATCTTGGAAGTGGCCTATAAGGTCATCCACAGGTGAATGGACAGAAAATGGTGCACTGTATGCACAGTGGAGTAGTGCTCGGCTAGTCAGGATAAAATTGAGCCATCTGTAGGAAAACGGATGCGACCACAATGTTAAGTGAAACGAACAGACACCCAAGCTTAAATATCGTGTGGAAATTGAAGCATGAATAAGTGAAAGAGCAACATAAAAGATGGATAATAGGAAAAATGGAGACTCAGTAGGCCTTTTGCAAATGGGAAGGCGACCTACAGATGGTGAGAGAGAGAAGAGATGGGAAAGGACCATGAGAAGAGTTAAGAGGTGCTATGTACAGGGACCAGCTCCCCACGATGAATGCATACTGCAAACCTGTATTAATAAAATATCAAAAAATAATAAAGTGTTTAGATGAAAGCTGGACCCATAGAAGTGCTAAATGAATGCTACCTAATATGATATAAACATGGCTTAGATTACAAATACATGTAAAGATGTTCAATGTGTTACTATAGCAGGAAGTCATGCCAATGGCTCTAATGTCCACACACGAATGCAGCCACGCATAAAGAGCTCCAGGGCAGTGAGGAGGCACCCCCACCAGCCACGCAGAACACAGCGGGTCTGCTCCTTTGCCTCATGCTTAGCTAATCCCATCTCCTATATGCATGTGTAGGGCCTCCATCCCAGCAGGTGGCCATGCTGTTTCTGCCAATGATTACTCTGCCTGGACAGCTCTTCTGTTAAACTTTCAGGTGCAGTTTCCAAGATTTGGGAGTCAAGGAGAAGGGCTATTGAGGCAACACTAGACGCAACATGGGATGCTTTCCTTTTTTTCTTTTTTAAAATGCTGTCAGTTGTTAAGAGATACCAAGGACTGAGCCAAATATGGAGACTGCACCCTTCTAGTAAAATCCACTCTCTGCTAGGGCAGAGGGGCTGCCCTCCTACCTGGTGAGCTTGGTGCCAATCTGCTGCCTCAACTCCAGCCGCTCCTCATCCGTCTGCCTGGGCAGGATGTTCTTTTCTTCCAGCTCTCGCTTGGAGGGCCTGTTGCTCAGTTTGATGGCTAAGGAGTCCTTTCTGCAGACCTTCATGGCCAGGGAGCCTGCAGGAGGGAGAATTCACTCAGTGAACTAGAGCTACAGCTGCCTAGCTCCCCAAGAGCTGACCGTGGGCCACATGGTAGGAGGCAGGAGGGGAGGGACAAAGGGCCTTCAGCCCTGGGTCCCAGAGTCCCTGCCATCACCACGCTCTAGACACCTAGCCTTGCGGGGAGCTGAGATTGGGTCTCTGTTCTGCAGAAACTCTGGGCTGCAGGCAAAACCACAGAAGAGGGCAGGATGGGCAGCCACAGCCTATAGAAGAGAGAAGACAGGGTGTGGTCACCAGGGACAGCTCCACAGAGGTGGGGTTGATACCTAGAGAGGGGAGGGCCCACACGCTAGTGGGAAACTGCACCTGTGTGTGCTCAGCGGTAACACGGGGGCTCCCAGTGTGTAGAGAGATCTCCTGCCCTGGGACTGGGGCAAGTAGCATGGGACAGCTGGGCAGAGGTGGTGGGGCCAGTTTCGGTGGACGTGGAGGTATAGACTGTGTAGCAGGCAACATTTGGGGCCCATGCTTTCTTTTTAGGGTAGGAGTTTCTGAGCAGCTGGGCCAGGCCTTTCTCATATTTGGTATAAATCTGTGGTTCTCAGCTGGGTCATTTTTGCTGCCTAGGGGGCATCTGACATAGTCAGGAGCCATTCTGGAGTGAAGGGGCTGCAGAGAAGGCTGCAGGGAAGCCAGTGAGAGTATCCAGCAGGCGAGGCCAGTGAGGCAGCAAGCCACCCTGCAACTCACAGGACAGCTCTCCAGCACCCAGGACCATCCGGGCACAAGGCCAAGTGTGCAAGGCCGAGAGCCCTGGTGGGGGCAGCCAAGTCCCTGGCAGCACTGAGAACTGCACCTGAGAAGCTGCTCCTCCCAGCCTGGCTGCCTGAGGTCTCTAGCTGCCCGCTGGAATTCTGTGTGCAATATCACTTTGGCCATTTCTTAGCTCACCAGGACTCACAGAGCTACCCAGAGCCTGGTAAGCAGAGAGCAAGGGGAGTGAGCTGGGCCTTTGGATTTTACTTGGTGGTGCTTTACTTTCTTCTCCTGCTGGTTTTAGAACATGGGCTCTGCATGAGAATCTCAGCACTGGCCCTCAGATCAGAGGCCAGGGCTACTTCCTTCTTTCTCCATCGTCGCCCCTTGTCCATACACAGCATGAATAGTGTCTAGCCCTAGGGCTGCAGGAAGATGCACATAAGAGAACACAATTTTGGCACATTTTCAGGCTCACAGCACACAGTCAATATATGGTCTGCACTTAGAGTGCTGAAGTGCATTTGTTATTCACGGCCAGAGCGATAGGTTTGGAATGCTGTTTTCTCCATTTCTTCTCCTGTCTGATGGCACACTTAAAAGTCTGAAATGACAAACTTAAGATCAAGTCTCCCGATGAGGTGTGCTTCAGCTCGATTTGTTGCACCTAACATAGCAGGTACAGGTGTATTTTCTAGATGGGAAAAATTTTAAGGCTCCCCCTTTTTGAGGGGTGGGATGCAACCCCAAAGAAACAATGGAGGAAGAGACACCCAAGAGGTGGGGTGGTGGCGGGTGCTGCCATGCTCACAGCTGGGAAGGCATTTGGAGAATATTTTTACCTTTTCAGATCATGGACAGAGAAGGCCATAGGAAAAGGGAAAGAGACCAGAGATGGGAGGATGGAGGAAGGGGACAGAAGGAGTTAGGATGGGTAACCAACAGGCCCAAGCTCCCCACGACCAGTGCAGTCAGTACACACTGCAAACACATACTCATAGCAGTGAAAAATAATACAAGAAAGTGAGGCCTGGAGAAGTTAGCTGCTGATGGCCCAGATCAGAACCAGAAGGTGGGGCGCTGGGTCGCCCTCCCGCCCCACACCTGCCCCACACCACGCTCCCTTCCCCGGGGGCATCTGTTGCACTTACTGGTGTACAATGAGCTGTCATCATCTTCCTCCTCCTCTTCTTCCTCCTCTTCCCTCGTGTAGAGGCAGGAAGAGTCTCCGTAGTCTGGTTCGTGAGGCACGTTTTCTTTATTGTCATCACATTCAATCACAACAGTCGGCACTTGTCTTATTTCCGGAAGGCCCAAAGGTCCTGCTTTTGTGACACCATCACTCGAGTGCAATCCAGAGCTGTGGTATGACGTGGAACAGGGGACTCGCTGCTCAGAGCTGTGAAAGCGCAGGAGGAAAGAGGAAGCTCCTCTTAGCAAACATGTCATATGAATGCCCCTAAACTGGTCTAAAACTCAGCTGTCCAAGCCAGGTGTGGTGGAGAGTAATCCCAGCAGTCTGGGAGGTTGAAGCAGGAGGATCACAAGTGTGAGCTCAGCCTGGGCAACTAACAAGACCCTGCCTTAAAATAAAAAAAAATTAAATTAAATTAAAAAAAAAAAAAAAAAAAAAAAAAAAACCAAGGGCTGGAGATGTAGCTCAGTACAAGGGCCCTGACTGGTTCAGGCTCCAGTACTGAAAAACAGCATCAGCTGTCCATTCCTAAGAGACAAAGGGTCCAGCGGGCAATGAAAATCCGCTTCTCATCTTAGAGCTCAGCATTTTAGGGCATGACAGTTTCCTGACGGAGGCAGTGGGGGGGATAGGAACTAAGAATTCCCTGAGGGCGGATGGCGGTGAGGGCTGCACAGCTCTTGAACACATTTAATGTCACTGAAGCTCACACTTCAACAAGGTTAAGGTGAGATTTTTTGGGGGAGGGGAAGGGTGCTGTGATGGGGTAGGGCACTGAGGGGTGCCCTGTCCCGGGGCTACACCCTGGTCTTTTTCATTTGGAGACAGGATCTCCTTGAGGCCGGCCTCCCACTTTCCATCTTCCTGCCTCAGCCTTCTGTAAGTAGCTGGAGTTAAAGGTTGCCAGTGTGAGCTACTGTGCCTGGCTTCAGATGGCAAATTCCATGTTCTGTATAGTTACCAGAATTAACTTCTTAGTTTTAATGAGACAAGAGTTATAGGTCCACAAATCATTTTGATTAAGATCAGTATTTTTAAGGGTCAGAGAAATGTTCACTTGCAACCCTCACATGTCATAGGACAGGCAAAGAAGTGACTTCGTGGGAAAGCCCAAGACCCACAGAGAAAGATAAAACGTGAAGTTTCCAAAGGCTGAGCAGGGTGGCTGGTGGGGAGCCAGGGGAGGGGTGGAGTCTGAAGTGCTGTGGATGGAGGTAAAGGAAAAGAAGTGGGGCAGGACGCGGCGGCACACATCTGCAATCCCAGCACACTGGGGGGGGGGGACGGGCAGGAGGACCAGGAGTGGGAGCCCAGCCTGGACAACTCAGTGAGATGCTGTCGCAACCAACCTAACAAGAAGAGCTGGGGATGCAGCTCTGCGAGGAGATCCTGGGTTCAATTCCTAGTACTGGCAGGATGAAGGAAGAATTGAGAGAGTCATGAACAAATATCAGATCAGAGTAACAGAAAGAACAGGAAGCAGAGACTGGTCCTTCCCAAAAACGATGTCCAGCCACAGGAGGCTGCGAAGCCAGTGCCGGCCTGCTCTCCCTCCCTTTTTCCTTTTGGCAGGTTAGTTTTCTTTCTTCTTTCTTTAAAAAAAATCATTTATGTATGTATGTAGGTATGTGGGTTTGTTTTTGTATGTATGTATTTGGTACAGGGTCTTACTGCATGGCTCAGACTTGTAGTGATCCTTTGGTATCAGCCTCACAGCACCAGGATTGCAGACATGTACCACCATGCCCACTTTAGGTGGTCAGCACAGTGCACCCAGGGTTCCAGGGCCGGCATGGCATGTGGTACCAGGGATAGAACTCGGGACCTTGTGCTTGACATAAAGGTGGTTAGACTGCTGAGCTATCCCCCAAGCCTCTTGGCATGTTAGTCTTCTTAAAAGTGGTAATGATACTCTGGGAGCCAACTGAGACCAAATATGTTTTTTTAATAAAAAAGCTATACTATATCTTCGAAAACAAAGACAACAGTTATTTCCTTAATAAAGTCTGTGTAGGGAGCCTGTAATAACTGAGAGTCCTTCGAATGCCAGCCTTTTCATAAAGTCAGCAAAAATAACATGACTAGGAAGCCAGAAACACAAAACCAAATGTTATTCCTTTTTGCAGTACTGGAGACGAAGCCCCAAGCCTCACACGTGCTGGTTCAGGGCTCTGCCGTGGGCTATGCACCAGCCTGGTGAGATCTTTAATTCTTTTTCAGATTTACTGGAAATGAAATTTCTTTCATCACTTAACAAATTTATAAACCCAGGAAACTCAGTGCATTTTATCATCAAAAAGTGTTTAACACTCATTAAGAGGTGGGCTGCGAGGTTATATTAGCTATCACTGAGTTTTACATTCAAATATTTTATCCTAAAGATATCTTACTGATGATACAGGAAGTCATGAGTTTCCTTTGAAGTTTTCAATTATGCTTTGAATTATTGCTATGTTTAAATTAAATTCAATGAACTTTCTTTCATTGTTTCCCAAGAGCTATTTTTCTCTATTTTTCATGAAGCTTTTGGAAAACCCAGTTAATACATTACGAGCTATGATGTTGGAAGCAATGCACTAAATCAATGTTAAAAAAAAATAAAAACCTTCAAGTATTAAAAAAAATGCAGCATCATTCTGGGCTGGGGCGGAGCCCAGTGGTAGCGCTCTTGGTACCCTAGTACACACATGTCAGCATGAGGGCCTGGGTTCCATCTTCAGCAACACACACACACACACACACACACACATACACACACACACACACTCTGTAGCAACTTCCTTAATGGTTCAGGGTAGTCCACTTAGAGCTAATTTTATAGAATTGGCTATGGAGCATAGGTGATAGACGGTCTCCAATGTGACAAATATGGCTTGAGACAGGGACTTACTGCCCTGCCCAGTGACAGTCACTGTATTCAACAGTGCTTGGATCTGTGCATTGAGGGAGGTAAAGACAGCAGAGGCAAGGATTAATTCCACACCTTTCCCTCCCCACTCCCTCCTCCCCTCCCCCTCCCCTCTCCCCCTCCTTCTCCTTCTTCTTCTTGTATTTTGTGCAGGGTCTCATTATGACCACATCCAGGCTCTGTTGCTGGCTCATTGCACCCAGGTGCAGGGCCAGCATGGCATGGTGCCAGGAATCAAACCCCAGTACCTGTGCTTGCCTAAGCAAGTGCTTACTTTGCTGAGCTATCTCGCTGGCCCTACCCAGGCTTCTTCTCTCTGCCTTTATAGTTTACTTAGTGATGGTTCCTCAAAAGGGGCAGAGTTGGGGATACAACAGCTGGGAGTCAAGAATGAAAACCAGTTCACGAATATCCTTGCCTGGTAGGAAGAATCTTTTGAGGAAAAATTAAGTCAGAAGTCAGAAAGCGTAAGAGTTCCCTAAGGCAGAAAGCTCCAGATTGATTGCAAAAAACAGAGAAGGGAGCAGCAAAATTATGCAAAAAAGAGACAAGAGTCAGCCTCACAGGTGGTGCGTGACAAACAAGACAGAAGGGGATGTGTGGGGTCTTGATTAGGGTGGGGTCATACAGAGGCCCTCCTGTCAGGTTCAGGGTGGGCACCACCGCTCTGCAGCCGACCAGGATTAGAAACTCAGCACCAACAATGAATTAGGGGCTGTAGTTTAAGAAAGGAAGATGCCTTTATTTGTAAAGAGGAGAAAGCAGAAGACAGAAAGCTGCCTCACAGAGGCAGCAGGGAGTTCCAGAAAGATGCATTTCCCATGAACCTTTGTTCCTGGAGGAGCCTTTGCCCCTGGAACGTGTCACAACGTGATGGGCTCCTCAGGCTGTCCTTGGATTAAACCAGGCACCCTCATCTATGGGTGCTTTCCTTTGGGCGGGCTTTTGTTTGACTTCTATCTTGGCCGCTTGTCCTTGGCAGGGCCTCATTTCTGGGATGGGCAGCTGGTTGGTTAGGAGGAGCCTTATGTATGGTTAGCTTAGAGTTAATAAGGGGACGTGTGTTCTGCTGCAGGTGGGGAGCAGTGGCTGTCCCGGCTTCTTGGCTCCATGTGTGTGGCTTTCTCTGTGCCCTGCCTGTCATCTCCTCTCTGCTAAGTTCCTCTCCTACCTGCGCTATCTGGCACCTTTTCACACCTGGTTTTCCCCTTCTTTCTCCATCCTTGTCCTTGATACCATTCCCAAGGGAATTTCCATAGTGGAGTTTTAACTCCTAGCCAAGATTAGGCTGAAAACTTAACAAGGCCCTGATTCTGTTCTTCCCCCTGCCTACCAGAGTAGTAACCTGAGTGCTTTTGCAGGATGAAAAAAATATAAGGCTGGAGTAACTTCTACTTAATTGTACATGTATGTGACTGACAAGCATATTCAGAGGGTATTACTTAAGAGATTGCTTTTTAATTTTCAGGGGTACATCTGGTAATGTATTGCAGGGATCTCAGTGTCCCACATTGGCTGGCATCTTTATGAATGGCTCAGATAAGACCAGAAGGAACTTCCTCATCACGTACATGGAGGAACTGAGGTAGAGAAGGAGGGGGAATGAAAAAAGGGCACATTTTCTGGATGCTTCCCACCATTCTCCAACATTCCTGACAGTCTGCCATTTCATCTTTATGACTACCTCACAGGTAAAGTTATTATTCCTATTTTATGAAGCAGGAAATTGAGGCTCTGAGAGGGTAGCTAATCAGCCCACAAATACGGGGACAGCTGGGATTTGAGTCCATCCTGTTCCACAGTGGAACTGTCATCCGCACAGGTCTGTGTGCCTGGGCTGAACACAAATCCCACTAACCATACCACACAAGATGCAGAAAACATCACGTATGAAAAAGGTGCATCAAAGTGGGCGCTGTTCAGATCTTACTGGCCAGGGCAAGCTGTGGTGTCCTGCCTGTCACAAATGGGCCACTCCCGGGCACTGAGTTGAATGGGTTTATCTTGCATGTGGGGTCCAGAACAGTCAGAACAGTGCATCCATTTACCTATTGCTGGGGCTGCTCTGGTACTAAGTGGCAGAGTGGTGGCAATGTAGCTCTAAGCACTTACTTTACATTCTTTATAGAAGATGTTTCCTGACCTCCTATCTAAACTAATATTTCCTAAACTTCCATCGTACTCCTGTTTCCTTAGGTTTTTTTGTAAGTCGTTTCTGAAACCCATGACACTACTTAGAGTTATTTACTTTATATTTTTCTTCAAGTCAAAACTTCTTAAAAACTTAAACTGATTT